TCTATGATCTTCTCAGGTTCTTCTACAAATGTCAGATCTGGTTGGATATCTATTGCTTCAGTACTGATCTTCTGAGCTTCATCTACAATGTATTTCCTCAAAGAAGAGATGTGGAATACATTATATACTCCACTCATGTGAGATGACAAAATCAATCTGTAAGCCACACTGCCAACTCTCTCTCATATCTCAAAAGGGCCAACATACCTTGGACTCAGTTTTCCAATTTTACCAAATCTCTTCACACCTTTCATAGGGCTAACCTTGAGAAATACAAACTCTCCAACATCAAACTCAACAGATATATGTTTGGCATCATAGTACTCTTCTGTCTATCTTACACAGCCTTCAATATGTCACGAATCAGCCTTATCTTTTCAGCAGCATCATCTACTAAATCAGCTCCAATGATCTTTTTTTCTCCAATCTCAGCCCAACATAAAGGAGTTCGACACCTCCTTCCATACAAAGCTTCATAGGATGTCATACATATACTTGCTTGGAAACTATTGTTATAAGCAGATTCAATCAGTGGGATGTGTCTCCCATTTGCCACCAAAATCAAGTACACATAATCTGAGTAAATCCTCCAAAGTCTGAATAGTCCTCTCTGATTGACCATCTCTTTGAGGGTGAAAGGTTGTACTGAAAGTCTAGTGCCCATTGCCTCTTGAACCTTCCTCCACAATCTAGAGGTAAATCTCACATCTCTATCTGATACTATCGATCTTGGTACACCATGAAGTCTAACAATCTCATTAACATAAACACTTGCCAACTTCTCAACAGCATCAGATTGCTTGATAGTAAAAAGTGTGCCGATTTGGTCAACCTATCAATTATCACCCATATAGCATCATGACCAATTCTAGATCTAGGCAAACCAACTACAAAATACATGGCTATGTCTTCCCACTTCCATTCCAGTATAGGTTAAGGCTGCAATAAACCTCCTGGCTTTTGATGTTCTACCTTAACCATCTGGCAAACTGTACACATAGCCACCATTTCTGCTACACTTCTCTTCATCCCTGGCCACCAAAAGTATTCCTTCAAATCCTGGTACATCTTGTTACTACCTAGGTGAATGGTATAACTTGAATAGTGAGCTTCTTGAAAAATGTCCTTCCTCAAATCTCTAACATCTGGGATGCAAATTCTGCCTCTATACCGTAGTAGCTCATCCTCATCAAGCTCAAACTCCTCCACATGACCAACCTTCACCAAACTTAGGACTTTCTCAAATTATGCATCTTGTGGCAAAGCTTCCCTTATCATATCCTTCAATGTTGACTGAATGGTCATCTGATTCAAAGCCACAAACTCTGCATCATTGGGCTGGACTAATCTCTAACTTCTCCAAATCTTTTATCAACTCATGTTGTTGTGTAATCATCCAACTGGCACTAGAAGTCTTCCTGCTTAAGGCATCTGCTACCATATTCGCCTTACCTGAATGATATTGGATATCCAAATCATAGTCTTTGATAAGCTCCAACCACCTCCTCTGCCTCAAATTCAACTCTTTCTGTGTGAAGATATATTTTAAACTTTGATGATCCGTAAATACTTCAAATGCCCTTACTTAAATAGATTTGGCTTAAGAAACACTTAGGGGTGGAATTGGCATTTAGAAACTTCCAAAATTTATAATTCTCAAAATACTCATAATCTGATATGGGTTATACATCAAAACGATCAAAATTTTACGCTCTATTTTATAAAATCATTACCGTCGAAATCCGACAACTTCAAAATTTTCACTTAAAGCTCGTCGTGGCGCTTTGAAAAGCGTGCGAGGTCTTAAACGGCATTTTGCGGGTTTTACAGAAGCAAAATCCTGCTTGAAAATGAGCCAATAAACCTTGCTCAAAATTCTGCAAGAGTGCCACAACTTACGGCATCAAGATCAATTCTGAACCGTTCAGGTGTTCTAATGCAAGTTGCTGATCTTGTGAGTCCTTTAAGGTAATTAGCGTATGCTGATTCTAATGTTGCAAATCATTTATGGGTATTGATTTTCCCAATAGCTTGGGTCACCCTTCAGAAAGATGAGCAAGTTTCTATGGCTATACCCATTATATCACTTCTTACCCCAAGAAGCAACAAAAGCAAGTAGGCCTAATGATGTGCAGGCATTTCTAGAAGGTATCAATTTGTGTCATCCTCAGACTCGAATACCAAGTGACCTAATCAAATATACTGGGAAAACTTACAACGCCTGGCATATCTCTCTAGCTCTACTTGAGAGTAATGTCGTGTTGTTCAGGAATGAACCAAAATGTTCTGAATCACTTGCTAGGCTTTATCGATTGCTTAATGAAGAAGATATAAGATGTGGTTTGTGGAAGAGAAGGTCAATTTCCATTGAAACAAGAACCAGCTTATCTCTTGTCCCGCATGAGAACCGGCAGCATGCTCATAACCTCTTTTATCAGGCAATGATAAAGGCCACATAGGGTATTTACAAAAATATAGTTCCCAAGGCTGAAATGTGTCTTTGGGAAGAAAGGTGGCTTTATTGTGCTAGTCAGCTAAGTCCAGTGGAATACATTGGCAGATTTTGGAAAGATTGTGGAAAACAATGAAATTCTTTATGCCTGCCTTTGAAAGGTTCCAGATTGGGCTTATCTAAAGGATAATGTAATGCCAAAGGCTCAATTAGAAGAGACACCAAAACTTCATATTGTTCAAGCATTTTTTTCTCTTCAATATAGAAATACAGGTGGTGTAGAGATGTTAAAGGTACTGTGTCCAAAGGCGTTGAACTGGCACAAAACAATGGTGTCAATTGGCTGAGATGTCCATTCAGCCCCACACACCACTTTTGCAGTATTTTCAGCAGCTTGTTGATGTCCAAGAATCAGCAGGAATTCTACTTGACATTGCCAATTAAAAAAAATAAGCATATGGAAATTATAATTTTGGTGTTCACAGTATTTATGCAGAACTCAAAAATATCTTTGAGGCATGGAGGCTTAGAACTCCTAATGAATGGGATAAGCGCATGCAACACTGTTTCAGCACCCAATGGTATGCCTGATGGAAAAGAAAGAGGTCTGAATCATGTTGGTAGTACTTTGCCTTCTAAAATCCATATTCATCCTGGCCCCAAAATAGCAGTACTTTTATTTCTCAGAAGCTGCAGTTAATAATGAAGCTGAAAAGCTACTCAGCAAAACAACCAACTTCCATTTAGGCGTAATACTGCACTTGGTTGAGTTGCTTCAGCTGCTAGTACATTGGATGTTGCAAAGGACATAACGGAAGCACTCGGGAACAAGAACCCAAACTTGGCCAATGAACTTGAGGCATTGCTATCATGAATGGGCTCAAGATTTGTTACTCTCCTAGAATATTGACTTCTTGTTGTTGTTAATGCATCACTTCATCGTTGCCACAAGTATCCAACTGCTACCACCGCTTAGATTCCAAAATATCTTAAAAAGGAGGTATCTCGAATTTGTAGGGCTTTGTTTCTCTGCAAATGTTGTGAATAAGTATGTTGACTTTGTGAGGGAATATAAATGAAATTTTGAATGCGATCTAGATCCTAGAAGCACAAACACATTTTCGACTAGCCTCTTAGAATTAACCGTTAAGCAAAAGCACTGGAAAAATATTCTTCAAAAGAAATTTCCTTCATACCACCTTAAGGACTAGGTGGTTCTTTGGGACTGGAGTAGTGATATGCCAGAGGGGCCCACCTTGTGGGGCCTAGGGGAGCTATTATTTATTATGTAAGGAGGAGGAATTAAGGGAAAGCTATTTAGGAATGTTCCTAATCAAGGGGAAGCTATTTAGGAAGGTTCTTAATCAAGGGAGAACAATTTATGAAGGTTTCCTAATTATGCTTATGTTGTTTAACTGATTAAGAAGATTTTCTTAATTATGTTCAGGCTAATTAGGGACTAATTGGTTAGGAAAGTTTTCTAAATTACATTTATGCTGATTAGAAGGTTCTATTTATGTTATAGTATTCTAGGGCTACTTAAAGGGGTGTTCTCTAGGATTTAGTTTATACTATTGTTGAGTTTTATGTTCTTAGTATTTGTTGTGAGCTTCTAGTGGCGTCTAGGTCTTGTGAGAGAGACAATCAACCTCTCTAATAGTAGATCACATATATCTTGCTTTTATATTGCAGAAATAATATAAAATCAGCTACTGTTTTGGGTATTCCAGTAGTTTTCTATGAATTGGTTTGCTGTTTTTACTTCCAAGTTGTTTTGGGTATTTCTGTAGTTTTCTATTGATTGTTTAGCTGTTTTTACTTCCAAGTAGTATCAATATACTCATGCCATTGACAACAGCCATTTCTTAGTGTTTATCCTTCTGAAGCAATCACTAGAACCCTCCTTAAGTGGGGAATTAACTGCAGCAACCTACTCATCATACACAAAGAGCAGCATCTAACCATACAAAAATTCATATATTTTCTCTAATATTGACATAATCTCATGGGAACATCTTAAAATGTACATTTAAATACAAATGAAATTAAGGAAATAAAAAAATTTCTCTACATAAAAACTGAACCGAGCTAAGAACTAGAAGCTGGATTGTATAAGCCTAACACCATCACAACAATTCATTAAAGATGGTTCATGTGATAGATGCCAAAGGATAGGAACTAAAACATAGGCCACTGTGGTGGAACATAATGATAACCATTTTAACGTAGGAGCTGCTAATATGCCAGTCCTTGCTGCTACAATTTTGAAAGGAATGCTCAGTTCATGTATCTAAGAGGAAAAAGATAAAGATGCACAGGAAATGACAAAAAAAATCTCAATATTGCTATGTTTTGCTACAAGAAAGAAGCATAAACCTTCCTCATATTTTTTATCTGTATTCAAGTCAATCACTCAGATAATATAACAGATTCAATGAATACTCAGAAAATGAATAAATTGAATAAAATAATAGCAAAAGAAAAGGTGAACTCGTGTTGCATAAACTAGTAGAAGTATATAGTAATGCAAGTCACTGCATGTAGGTACCTTTTCCTGCCTTAGAAGATTATGTAATATCACATACAGTATACGTGGAGAAACCTGTTGTTCTAGAATACTTGTCATAATTGACATGATAGCTTGCATCAAACTATCCTGAATTTTAAATCTGCAAATGAAAACAATCTGCTTTAAGTAGCACAAGCCAACGAATAATATAAACACAAAAAAAATAGTGATTCGATTTATTTTATCCAGTTTGACCAATTTATACAGGAAAATAAAGGACCAAAGAGTTAATAATAACAGTACTTTAAAGGCGGGTACCAATCTTCCCAAGAAGACTACTCGATGCTATAGGCTGAACACTCGAACAAATTAAGCAGTAACCAGAAGTGAGATAAGAACTTTAGATCCACCTTGTTCCCAAACCAACTACATATAAAGCTAAGTGGTTTCTCTAGTTCGAACAAGAAGACAAAATATGATCATAAATATCAAGTTACTAACCCAAGAAAACTGAAATTTAGTCAACAATATAGCGCTATCAAGTTCATGCCAACATAAAAATGACACATCTAATTCTACTCTCCACAATTAAGATGATTTGTGCTTCAAACATGGGGGTACTTTAACGGAGCTTCAGTCAAAACATGGACAACTCACTAACCAATTATCAACATACCTTCAAAGTTGCAAGAGTGAACAGAAAATGGTAGATGCTACAGACTCTCAAAACCAAACAGTTAACCATGCCTAATGTAAGTTTGGAGAAGAATACGTTTTCTGAATATTGATCAAAGATAGAGGTAAAATATTTATAGGACATTTTGCATTTTTAAACACCTAAGTATATGATAATTCGCCAAAGAAAACTAGCAAAATAAGATGCAATTTAAAAATTCAAATAATGGGGATCTTCAAATTGATTCTGACAAAAATTCATCATTTTTCTTTTAGAGTAACCATCTTCCCATGCAATCACTCCTTTAGCTTCCTACTAATCCAGTCAGCACACCCTTTGATGTAGTCAATACTTTCTCTATTCAACAAACTTCCCCTTAAATTGGAAAATAGATTTCAATCAAGTAATGAGGAATTAAAAAACAAGATTTGAAAAAAACCTTCGGTAAGCATATATGGTTTACTGGGAGAAAATAAAATGCATGCAAATGATTCTTTCTTCAAGGTTTTCCTTAATAAATTGTTGATCAAATTGGCGATCAAACTCACCGTGCTCTGTAGGATAAAATCATGGGTTATGCTTATAGCAGCCTTGTTGCAACAATATAGCTTCATTGGAGAATCTCTAGTTATTTTTTTTTTTTTTTAGCTCAATAAAAACGCATTGCAACCATAGCAGTTCACAAAACTCATTGGTCATGCCTCTATATTCAACTTCAATACTCCAAAGTTCAAACTAACACTTCATGTTTCTATCGTCTTGACAAGGTTTCCATATACGTCAATAAAATTATCTATTATGGATCTTAGCCCAACCATATCAGTGTAAGATTCAATATTCCGAAAAGTGTTTTCTTGAAAAAATAGTCACATTTAATGGTAAATTTTAAGTATCTCAAGATTCGAATTTTTTTAGAAGTGCATAAATTGGATAACTAGACTTGTAGCAAAGGCTATATCTGTAAAACTCGAAAAAAATGTCGATCGTAAATGTTGCACGCATTTTGATGCACCGCAACCAAATTAGGCGGATTTTCAAAGTCGTCATTTTCAAAGAAATTAATTTTATAAAATAGTACATTGAATTTCGATCAAATCCATATAAAGGGCTTATAGGAAATTTTGCATAGTTTGGAAGTTAAAAATCAAAAGTCTCCTAAATTGAAAATGACTAAATAGCCCTTTTTTATATGAAAATGAATTATAAAAGGGGGTTTAGGTCATTGGACTCTCCCATAACTAAATAAACAGTAAGATATTACCTTTCACTTCTGCTGAGCTTTTCATGAACATAATATGATCAATATTGGCATGCAGTTAGCATTGATTATTTACTAAGTAAATCATCCATACCTTGCTCTTGAAAACTATTTGAGACAATAAAATGAGTTCATTAGATAGAATATATGAGTCAATGTTTTTTTTTTTTTAATCCAACAAAGAATACATAAACTTCTTTTAGGTCTCCATAAATAGTTGTGTTATTAATAACCAGCTGGTGTGGAGGCCAATCAGCATCATCTGCAAAAGATAATAAGACTCATATAGAATTCAATTTTCCCATTTGCGCAAACATCCCCATGCAATTTATACCATTGTAGAGTAAATCCTTTCCCAAATAGCAGAACTTGATATCTCTAGAGAGTTCCATCAAATTTAAACTTCACAACCCACTTTTAACCAACAATAATCTTCTCACTATGTAAAAAATGTAAATCCATCATCTCCTAAGCCTATTTTTCACAAGAGCTCTCATTTCATCAAGAAATATTTCCCTCCACTTAGGTACTTATAAAGTCTCATATACATTTGTTTGGAATCTCCACAAGAGAAAGTTAAGAGATGAAGGCAAAAAATAAGGTGGCAAATTTCTCAAGGGCATAAATTTTGATATAGGATAGTTAGAACAAGACTTAACACCCTTAGGGAATGTAATGGGTATATCAAGTTTGTCAAATTTATCTTGAGAATTTAGACACAATTGAAGAAAACTATATGGGCCATGGTTTTGCTTTCAATTGGATTCATGGCTGATGCGGACATCATATCCTGAAATGTCTTCCATAGACGTGGTCGACGATCGACGGCCACGATCGCGCTGATCTACTTTTGAGTCTTCATATGTATTTGTTTTATTTATTTGCTTTATGCATTTGTATTAGTAGCTTTTCCCGTTTTGCTCTTACTTAAGGGCTTTGTCATATGTACGCCCTAGGGGCAATGTCGTCTTTTATTTCTCTTTCATTGTAGGAGGCTAATATATAAGCCCCATACGTTTCTTTTGAGATGAATGAATGAATTATAAAATTTCTGCTTGGTGTTCTTGAGAGAGCTTGAGAAAAGGTTGAGGAGCCTAGGAGAGGCCAAATCGTACTACCCAACAACCACCGTAGGTGAGCTCTTGGTTTTCCTATCTTCTCCTCTTTGTTCCCTTCTTCTTTCCTTCCACCACCGACCTCCCTCCCTCCTCCCTTAACCGTCGGCCACTCCACCTTTCTCCACATCTCTGCCAAAACCCACCACCTCCCCAATACCGGCCAGCCTCCCATCCCAACCCCGAACAGTCGGCCAACTTCCCCCCTTCCTTTTCCCTCCAAATTTCAAAATCCCTCGACTTTCCTAAAATAGATCCCTATTATTCTAGAAAGTTTTAATTCAGATTTTGAGTTATTAAAATCTGAAATATTCTTTCCTAAATAAAGGAGTTAATTTAGGAAATACAATCATTCAATTAAATTCAAATTTAAATTTGAATTTGAAAGAGGATCTCATTAAATCCTTCTTCCTAAATCCCAAAGTCCCCAATTGGAAACCAATTTAATCCCACCTCTCCATACATGCCCATAGGGCCGGCCAATTTAGGAAATACAATCATTCAATCATTTTCTTGCTTAACTAAATCCTCCAATCAAGGCCATCAAGTGGGCCGCTCCTCCCTCTCTCCCCAAAATTAATCTTCCAACATTGGAAACTCCAATTAAACCCCCTCATAGGGCCGGCCTCCCATGCCTCTTTGGATTTCTCCTTTTGTGGAAAGAATTAAACTCCTTTTCCCAAATTAAAGTCCTCTAAATCTGAAATTAATTTTAGATTTTCTTCTTCCCAGATTTTCCCCACAATCCAAACCAATCCCACCTCCAACCTTAGCCTTGGCCGACCACTAGCCCACCCAACCAACCTCTCTAGCCCTTCTCCCTTGCTTGGAGAGTCACCCCAAAGGAAGAAGAGGCTTCCCACATCATTGACGGCTGCTGTCCAGGACTTCCAACCCCTCCAAAGTGCTGTTGGAACATTTTTGTTAGCTGTCCAGAATTTCTGGGCTTTCCCCCTTGCTGTCCAGCCATTCCAACACTAGGAAACTGCTGCCTTGCCACCCGGAGATCATCGTGTGCTGTTCCAAAAGCCTCAATTTGCTGTTTCGAGAAACCATTCCAAGAGAACTTGCTTCCCACCCGTCAAAGAACATCAAGTTGCTGTCCTAAGACAGCTAGGGGTTGTGTGTTACTGTCCACTCCTTCCCCAACACCAAAGCGACTACGCGAGATCGCCATATTTGTCTTTCCCTTGGTAAATTTTTTTTTCCTAGTCTTATATCTTCCTAATTCACCTTCCAATTGTGGTTATAGTTTGATTCACAATGATTCGTGTTGATCCCTCCACTAAAGCATGGTAATTTAGGGAGTTCAGTGAGGAATCCTTACATAGTGACTAATCTTATTGTTAGCATGGGGATTTTGTTGAAAACCTTTGATGGGGACATCAGATTGTGGAAGGTTTATCAGAGGCGTGGCCTACGGCCACGATCGAGTCATTGTACTTTTGATATATGATTGTATTGTTTTAATCATGTGTCGTGTATTTGTTTTTATTTTATGTTATTTTATTTCTTGTTGTACCTTTTTAGTAAAGGGATGTCATTTGTAAGCACGGAAGGCATTTTTGTCTTTTATTTTTTGAGTCTCATGTACTAGGCTATTTATAGCCCCTTGTTTTATTTTTCAAGTAATGAATGATTGATTAGAAAATTTCTTCGTTGTGTTTGAGTTCTCTTGAGAGCTTGAGAGTTTGAGTGGTGAATCCATAGGAGAGGGAACTCGGATCACCCACCAACCTTGGAGACGGTCGGGTTCGTGGTTTCTTATCTTTGTCTTTCCAAACCCTATCTTCCACCTAGCCGTTGGTCAAGGCCCTCCCAATCCTTGCCGCCGGCCACCTAATCACCCCCTCTTCCTTCTCCACCCACCACAACACCTCCTACATCTCCACCCAGCCGCCGGCCTCATACCCCCATCCCGTTCGAACCACCGGCCTAACCCGCCCCCTCCCCTATTGCCTACTTTGGTTACTTCCTAATTTTATATTGCCATAATTTACTTTGTCTTTGAATTCAAATTTTCCCAAATTTGAAATTCAAATTCTTTCCTAAATTATAAAATCTATTTTATGAAAGTTTTCAAATCTTCCCTCCATTGGATTTTGAATTAATTATGATGATTTAATTTATTCTAAATCTAATCACCCAAATTAAGGAAGCATTAAAGCCTCCTTAATTTCCTCCCTATAGCCGTCGGCCTTGCTTGGCTAAACTGTCGGCCCCACTCCACTTTCCCTACTTTGGGTTTTCTAATTTAGGGTGATTTAATTTGGGATCAATTTAGGAGTCAAATCAATTAAATCCTAAATTCAAATCCTTTCCTAAACCTATTAAACTATTTTAGGAAATTTTTCAAATTGAATCCAATTTGAATTTCAAATTAGATTGGACTCAATTAAATCTTTCCTAATCTCTAAACCCAAATTTAGGAAACCACCCACCTCCACATAAATCCCTCCCCACTCACTAAAGCCGCCGGCCCCTCTCTCCATACCCGCCCCCTCTTTCTCTCTAATCCTCCCCTCTCTCCACTTAACTTCCCACCGGATTTAGGGATTGGATTTTCCCTCTTGAATTTTCATCCTGTTATTTTTTAAAATCTAAAATTTATTTCAGATTTTGGAAGGAAGCTTGCTCCTTGCCTCTTCCCTCTTTCAAGTTGAAGGGAAACTTCTTTCTCCTCAACAATAGTCAAGAGCATTAGCCATCTTGGGAAGACTTTGTCATCGTGTATCCATGAATGGCCGACCCCGCCACTGAGTACGGACTTGAGAACGCCGAGGACGGCTTCGTACGCATTCTCCAGTCAACTTTCTTTGACGTTAATCCGAGGATCGATCACACCATTAAAGAATACGTGGAACGTATCCTAGATACTTTGGTGGAAGCAATTGAAGAGCAGCTTGAAGGCGTTGAGTGGAGGATCGCAACCGATCCTTGACAAAGGGTTCTACTTTCCCCTTTCTTTATATTTCTTGAGTCTAACTTTATCTTGTGTTTGATTGTAGTCACGAAGGACGATTCCTCCTACTTCTGCTAAGCTTAATAAACTTAGGGTTTTGAGTGTATTCATGTGCTTACGGATCTCACTTGTTAGACTAGGGATTTTTATTGAAACTACCACTCTGGCGTAACGTTGTTTTCTATTTCATTTTGAAAGTTTCAAATCTCTGGTTATGTGATTTAGCCTAAGCGGACGTGACCCCTTATTCGTTTTATTTCATTGTTTAAGCTACTAATAGTTTTCTTCACTTTTTTATTCTAATCAAGAGTTGTGCAAATTCTTAACAAAGTCATTGCATTCATATGTAGTCCTACATCAACCTTCCATGTATGCAACATTAAATTAATTGACTATTTTATGATCTTAACTTCTACGCACGTGATTTGGCCTTAGCTTATTTTATCACCTTTGTGCTTTATCTTATCGTTTAAATCAATATAAGATTTTGCTTATTATTATTCTCTAAAATTTAAGCATGCAAATTTCTTAATCAAATCATGTTCTTTACATTTATATCCTGCATCAACAGCTTTGCAGAGAACACTTATACTCTTTTTCATGAAATGATGGTTTCCTTAAATGTCATTCCAAAGATTTTATCCACGTTTGCTTAACCTCCTTTTTGGCATTATCATGATCATGTGTAGAGTTTATATTAGACCATGGGGGAGTTTCAATATTTAAATTATTATTTCTTGAACTAAGCTCTTGATTTGTATGAATGCATTCATTATTAAAAAGATTTGAGTTCTTATCATTTTTTTATATTATAACGAATCACCAAAGTTTCTTTCCCCATAAAGATGAGACCCGAAAAAAAGATTTTGTTCCAAAAATTATGCATCCATTATAACAAATATTTTTTTAATAAGATCAAAATATTAGTACCTTTGTGTTTAAAGTAAAAACTAAAAGATACATTTTGTAGTCCAATGATCTTTCCACAACTTTTAGCATAATATGTACAAACAATATACAACCAATGATTTTAATAGGGAGATTATATAAGATCCTAGAGTAAAAAAAAAAATATTTTGAAACATAAATAAAAGGCATTGAAAATTTATAATTTTTAAGGGCATGCGATTGATGAGGTATGTTGTAGTTATGATAGCATCATCCCATAGATAACTGACACATGATTGGTGAATACTAAAACTCTTGCTACTTCTAAAAGGTGTTTACTTTCATACCATGGAGGTAGCAATAGAAAAACAAGGAATTGTAATTTCCCAAATAAAGTTTATTTTTAATCTACTTCAAGAAATAAGAATGCTTGGATGTAAGCATGCAAAAACTTTAATGGATCCAACAAAGAAAATTGGGATAGCCACAAATAACCCACATGCCAAAAACATGAGTATCAACACCTTATAGGAAAACTCCTGCTATTCAGCTTCTCATTAGTGTTCTAGACCAATACATAAACAACACTATTGAATAACATATGAAACTTGTTAATCGCATTCTAAGGTATATGAAAATGATAACAAAAAAAAAGCTCATTATATAAAAAGTCATCCAACAAAAAAATTAATATTTTCACGCATATGAAATTGGCTAGAGACACCACATTAGAGATCCATCTTTACTTGTTATAGTTATGATCAAGAAAATTAGTTATAGTAATAAGCAAAAAATAATTTGTGGTCTCAAGAAACAATGCTAAAGCTGAATATAAAAAAGTGGGACATGATATTTACAAAGACAAGTGGAATAAGAGCATATGGAAACAGATAGTTAATATTTTTCTCATAAATATAAATAAGGTATAACACATTTCTTGTTTATCAAAAAAAAAAAAAAAAACTAATAGGTTGGTCCTCTGTTTAAAATTGTGCAACAAGAGGCGCACGCAATTTGGAGCCTGGAAGAGGCGTACGCCTCACCCTGTGTGAGGCGCGCCTCAATTGCGCAATTGCGCAATTATGGGTGAGGCGTACGCCTCATCCAAATGGCCCCACCTACTTAAAATGACTCATTTTTTTCCCTACACCCGTTCGGCCCAGGCTTTTCCCGTTCGCCCGCAAGCTCCTGTTCGCGAAAGAAGGATCTCGCACGGTCGGCCACCCTTCCCGCCGCCTCTCCCGCCAGCGCCGCCTCTCTCCGACGAACTTGAAGTGTCCGGTCGCCTTGTAGGAGAAGTCCACAAACGATTTTAGGTATTTTTTTTTATTTTTGGTTAGATTTTTGAAGTGAAATCTTCTTCCACTATACATAACAGAGGTGCACGGGGTCTTATGGATCAGTATATGACTAATCCATAAGAGGATAGAGGACAAGCACAAATGATGCCTGCGGCCGGTACTAGAGAGGGTCGACGCCAGGTTTGCATGGATATTGGGAAGTTTTTTTTTAAATGTCATACCTTTTAATGTTGCTACGTCGCCTGCCTACTTCAATATGCTGCGGTCTGTAGGTTTGTATGGGAGAGGGTTGAAGGCACCTTCTATGTATGAGTTGCAAACATGGATTTTAAAGGAAGAGCTGCTGAACACAGAGCGTAGCATTGAGGAGATTAAAAGGACATGGAATGAGAATGGAGTAACCATTATGTCAGATGGATGGTCTAACATGAAGAGCAGGAGCTTGATTAACATTCTTGTGAACAATCCCTACGGCACATTGTTTTTACGATCGGTTGAAGCTTCAGATGAGGTGAAAAATGCTACGCCTCGCAGCACAACAATCAAGTAATGATGTGTCGTCTGATAATGAGTGGTTCATAGATGATGAGACAGATTTGTCATTATCAGACTTACAGCTAGAAGATCTAAGTGTGGATGTCTTGAGGAGCGAAGCAGATCAAGTGGGCACATCCACTAGTACCACACCACACACATCCACTAGCTCTGCAGCACAACAATCAAGTAAAAGTATTGCACAACTTCTTATATGCTATTGCATTACATTTATGTCAAGTGAGCAATTAACATGATAATGATCTTTTCTCTTATTGAACAGGGAAGAGAAAAGTGAGTCATATTGAAGATGATGATGATATGGCATTCATAGATACAATTGGAGAAGAAGATTCCCTTGAAGACCCATTTAGTGATGGAATATGATTGCATTTTATTTATTTTTTGTACTTTGGGAGTTTTGTTAAACTAATATTTTGTGATTTTGTACTTTAGGACATGATTTTATTACATCTACTTTCTTACTTTTCACTATTTTCATATATCATTTAGATGTTTTTATTGTAAGATAGAATATTGCTATTATTTTCCTACTAAAACCTTTAATTTTTCATTTACGCAATTCTGTGTCCGTGAGGCTTACGCCTCGCCTCACAGACGAAAACCGCCTCGAGGCTTAATTACGCAACTTTAAACCTTGGGTTGGTCATTTTGAGAATACTTATTTATTTAAAATAACTCTTAAAGATTCCTCATAAAATGAAGAAAGAATAGATAAATAAGCTTAATGATAAGAATAAATAAATTCTATGAATCCATAAAATTTGAAATTATTGGTTGCAATAATATATGTTGAGCAAAACATAAAGTAGAATTGCATAAGAATAAAACATTGATGGATATAACTTCTAATACAGAAAAATATTCTTGCATAAATTATAAAATAAATAATAGGTAAATTTAGATCATGAAAAAACAAATACATTGGACAGTAAATATAAATAGCTTTACAAAATAGATATCGCAATGGCTAGTTATTGAGCTGAAAAAATTTATTTTCAATCAATTGCTTTGATCGATGAATATGATCACCTTGGAATTATTTGTACCTTCTAGAATGGCATTATTTGCATTTCCTCATATTTAAATCTACAGAATAATATATCTTTGCAAAAAAATTGAACATTGACAAGGCAACCTCAATGAATCTTTTTTGAACATTGACAAGGCAACCTCAATGAATGATCACGGAACAATGCAACATAGCTCTTACCTTACAGCTTTGAATAACACGTCAAACATTTCAGCTGATAAATCCTCACAGCCCCCAAGCATAATCAAAAAAGATTTACAATAAGCAACAGTCTCCAATATCTTCAACCTCCTTGTGGAAAACGGACTGTTGGAATCAGTTAGGCGTTTGAACACATTAATAATGAGCCTGAAAATTTCCTGTATATTAGACGCAGAATTAAAGAAGCGTTAGGAGGATGAACATTGTTGTATACTAGGATCCATTATTAGGGATCAAGGGGATAATAACGGGAATACTAGTATTGTTCCTTCCAATAATAAAACTCTCTCTTGGTAAAGAAAAAGAAATTCCTGATAACTTATCCTGATTCTAGAAATGAAAATACCATGCAAATTTCAACAATGCATACCATAATATAGATGCCAAAGATAACAGTTAACTTCATAATTGAATAGACTAATAAAAAACAGTGTGAAACAGCAAAAGAAAACAAAAATTAGAACATCCATTTCCTGAGTAATAAGTGATATTCTAAACATGTTCAACTATTCCTACTTCAGCCCAATCTGTAAAAACATAAATGGAGGCAGAGACAGGAATAATAATTCAAACAACTACCCTCAAAGCTGTAGAAAGGCATAAAAACAAGATATAAGTATTTCTTCCTTCCTTAGGAATCACATTATCAGGGAAGTATCGCCATAAAGAGACTATGGTACCAAACATTCTCAAGTGTAAATGAAAAGTGGATCATATGAATGCTTGTAAGTGATGCAAGGTACAAGTAAAAAAAAAATAGCTTTCTTAATCAGGAGGTGTTACCTTATATACTTCATAACTGCAAGGAGGATTAGGTGCTAGAAGGCGGATGACTTCAGTGAAACAAACGGCAACCAATAGCCTAACATCATCATCTTTATGCTTACGCAGGTTACTTTGAACCAAAGAACAGCTTAGGGATGTCAATACTTCCTGTAGAGATAAACTTGGACTCAAATCTGAAAGAGCAGCTTCCGCTTTCTGAAAGAGAACACAAAACTTCATAAGCAATCTTTCATAATAGTTTCTTAAAGAATCAATGTTTCAGCACGAAAAAAGGGAGGCAGATGTAGTACATCAACCTTGATATATGAAGTAAATCAGGTTATATTAGTCTATCAGACAACTAAGTGTTTCACAATGAGATACCTCATTTTAACAATACTCATATGGAGGAAGCATGAAAAGTATAAACAATAAGAACAACAGTATTGTATTTGACCGACAAGGATGGCATAACTTTGAGTTTCTTGAATTATAAAACGAAGGCTTGAATTAGAACTTCTCCAAAAATGAGAAACATAGATAAAGTCAACCTAGAATTTGAAGGGCCGAGAGAGATGAAGACAAAGAGAGGAAAAGAAAGAGAGTAGGCTAGCCGGCCAATAGGAAAGAAAATCTTGGAGACATGGTTGCAACATTCTTGCATTCATATCATCATTCCAACCCTCTTACAAGCATACTTTAACTATAAATAGGATTTAGCAACAGAGAAAAAATAAAAGAAAGATATGTAAAACAATCAAAAGAAATAATATTATTTTTTTCATTAAAGGCTTGTCATAAGAAATAATTTTAGTAATAAAATAACTCTTGATCATAAATCTATTATACAATAATAATCCAAAGAAGATGTAATGAATAAGTCCAAATTTGGGGTCCCTATATCTTAATTCAACTCGCTTATCAATATTTTAAGCCAAACAAAATTGCTGACACACGATTATTAGCTTTGATGCTCATAAATATTAAAATCTAAGGCATGTAAGATGTACATTGTTGGGTTGTTCCATGGTCTAATTTTCAGCTTATCACAACTGATAAGACACAAATCCAATAAGAGGTCCTCAACAATTACAAATCTCACAACAACAATTGTATAACTCTAACCACATTGTGCAGGCAGAATCATCAAGATGCCATTCCACTTTTCAAAATGACCCAACGAAACCAGATCTCTCAGTCCATTCAATGCTTTGTACCGAGCATCAAATTATACTGTATAAATCGTGCTAGCCAAGCAGTTCTCAGGATACACGGTTCTATGAAATCACTTCCTTCCAGCAAACTAAATATTAACGCTCGCAATTACAGCATCATTCCGATAAACAAAAAAAAAAAAAACGAATAAAGACGAGCAATGCAAACAAAACAAGGGATCAAGTACAACATGAACTTCCCCTGCTCAATTTCTACCAGAAAAGCGACTAAAACCAAGTCATTAAAAAAAAAAAAAAACCCCCTAAATTCCCCCCAGTCCCATAAACTTTTTACCATGAAATATAGAGTCTCACCAGCGAGACGGTCTCCTTGTCCGAGAAGGCAGTGATACGGAGATTTACAGTTTATATGATTGCAATCAAAGTTAAAAAAAAAAAAAAAAATTAAGACGCTTAGAAGGGATATCATCAAAACTTAAAAGAGAGGCGGCTAGGGTTTGCTTATTCCTCCTTCGCCGCTAGTTGTTATCTTCTTCCTCCTTCTTCCCTCCGGCGATGCCGGAGGGAACTTCTCCCTCTCATCCTCACACGGATGCAGCTCCTTCGATGACAGAGTTCCCCCCGCTTGTGCAACATGCTAGTCAGGTTTGCGCTATTTCAAAGTCGTGGAACAAAGTGCTTGAGCCGGAAGTGCCTTCTTCAAAATCCCTCAAGTTTTCCCATTTTCCATCTGAACCGGAGATTATTCCTTTTTCTGGGGATAAGCTGTCTTCTGGTGGGGAAGATTGGAAACTTTGTTTGGTGGGCTACTCCTTAGGAAGACGCCCTTACTATGAAGCTCTCTTAGCTGCTGTCAAAAAGACCTGGAACTTAAAAGGTTCTGTCCAGTTATTGTCCCTTAACGATGGATTTTTTCTCTTCCGATTTTCTTGCTCTGAGGATTTCGAAGCTGTCTGGTCGCGGGGAGCTTGGTTCATTTTGGGAAAGCCATTTGTTCTTCAGAAGTGGCATCCCAGGTTCATCCCGAAAAAAAGAAGATTTTGCTACGGTTCCAATCTGGGTGAAAATACATGATTTACCTCTTGCTTGCTGGAACTCTGAGGGGATTTCCAGGATTGCCAGCAAAATTGGGGTCCCTGTAGCTGCGGATAGCTTGACGGAGCAGAAAACTCGGCTAACTTATGCTAGGATATGTGTGCTGGTTGACAGCAATGCTTCTTACCCGGAGGTGATACAAGTTTCTTTAGATGGGGAAGTGGTATGTTTGAGAGTTCAATATGAATGGCGACCTTTTCCTTGTCAGCACTGTAAGTCCTTAATGCATTCTTCCAATTCCTGCCCAAAAAATTCTGTGAATGTTGAGAAAGATAAGGAAGCGGGAAATGCAACCAATACCACTAGGGGTAGGAGTAATAGCAGAAGACCTCGTCTTCGTGCTCCGTCTAAACCTCATTATGTTGAAAAAATCTCGGGCGCTTCTAACGATCCCCTGACGCAAAATTTTCCCAATATTCCTTCGAATTCAAAGGTTCACTTTATTCCTTCTACAGTCACAGGACAACCTCTCACTTATCAACCTCATTCTCCAACCAACTCAGGCAAAATTCCCTCTTTGGATGTGGTGGCAGACAAACAGTTCAGGATTGATAATCCTGACATTGGAGATTCTATTAATCTGGGTATTCCGAATCTAAATTCTCCTAATGATGCTGCTTCCTCCTCCTCCACCAATCTTATATCTCAGTCTACTTCTAAAGGGAAGGATTTTGTTTCTCCTAATAAGTTTGATGCTTTAAATCTTGAGGGAGATGTTAGAGTAAACACAGACAATTCTGGTAATGACATTGATAATGAAGAAATGTATGAAGATGAGGTGATCAAAGAGAATAAACTTAAAGCTACGGATAAATCTAATAAGTCCATCAACACTACAGCATCCAAAAAACCTGCTAAGGGGAAGCAGGGTAAAAAACCCCTATCAAAGCAGAAATCATGATGTCTTTTCCACCTATGGCAGTGTGGAATATCAGGGGATTTAATCGCCCTGATAAAGTTCTTTGCTGTAAGCGTCTCATTGAGTCTTTTAAGTTAGACTTAGTCTGTATCCTGGAGAATAGGATTCATCTTCATTCTCTTGATGATCCGTTCTTTGAATATGCTCACTCTTTATTCTCTAATGAATCCAGTATAAACAATTTTGCCCTCTCTGAATCGGGGAGGATATGGGTGAAGTGGAATTCCTCTAAGTTGTCTTTTATCCCTTCTGTCATTAATTCCCAATTAATTTCTGGGTTGGTCTCTGTTTCTAATCAACCACTTTTTCAGCTTTCTGTTGTTTATGCTTCTAATAGTATGTCTAAACGCAAGGATTTGTGGAATGCTCTCACTCTTGCTGCTCCTGTGAGTAATTTTCCCTGGGCTATCATTGGTGATTTCAATTGTTGTAGATATGCTAATGAAAAAATTGGTGGATCTCCTCTCACTCAATCGGCTTTGAAAGATTTTAACGACTGCATCTTCTTTAATGGGTTGCTGGACCTCAATTATGTTGGGGGAAACTTCACTTGGTACAATTAACAGTTAAAAAACCCCATTCATATTAAGCTGGATAGAGTGCTTGTTAATGAAGCTTGGGGGAATTGTTTCTCTGATTCTTACTATTCCATTCAAAGCCCTTCCTGCTCGGATCATTGTCCTCTCATTCTTCAAGCTGGGAATGTGAATCAGGTCTCCCATCGTTTTTTATTCAAAATCTATTGGACTAAGATAGATCCTTATTGGTCTATTCTTTTAGAGATTTTCTCCAGGCAGTGCACGGGCAACCCCTTATCTCATCTCTGTCAATCTCTTAGAATGCTGAAGAGTGAAATTAAAAAGACATCCTGGGCTTCTTCCAATAGTGTTGCTAAACACCTTAACAAGTTACTCATCAAGCAAAGCTCTTTATTGGAACAAATGCAATCTGATCACAACAATGTTGAGCTTAATTTGGCTTACAAATCGTGCAATTCTGAGATTATTAATTTTAACACTCTTCATGCCTCTTGGATCATACAACGTGCTAAAGTTAATTGGCTCAAATATGGGGAAGATGATCTCAAATTCTTATATGCTAAGATTAAGAGCCGGAAGAGTTCTTCTAAGTCGGTGATCAACTTACTCTCTTCTAACTCTCAAACCAATAGATCGGACTTCATTTCATCTGCTATCCAGTATTTTCAAGGGCTTTATAATCCTTCTCATTCCCCTGTTTTTTATGCTGGGGATTTCCCTACTGGTGCGATTGTTCCGGAAGTATTTCACATGTCCCTTTCTCTTCCTGTTCAGGATGATGAAATCAAAGCTGCGGTTTTTATGGGCTCTTCTAATTCAGCCCCGGGTCCTGACGGATTTAACTTCTATTTTTATAAGACTTCTTGGCATATTATTGGGCCGTTGGTTTGTAGAGCTATAAAATCATTCTTCACTAAGTGTTATATGCCCAATGGGGTTAAAGCTACAGCTCTGGCTATTATACCCAAACACTCTAGTGCCGCCAATATTTCTGACTATAGATCTATTGCTCTGTGTAATGTGGTTTATAAGATTATTGCTAAAATTATAGCTCTTAGGCTTAAACCTGTTATGAACATCATTGTCAAAGATAACCAAGCTGGATTCTTAAAGTATAGAGTCTCCACTGATAACATCTTGCTAGCTTCTGATATTTTGTATCATGCGGGGAAAAGAGGGAATGGTAATATTTTTTGTGCCAAATTAGATATCAAGAAAGCCTTTGACTCAGTTTCTAGGGAATTTATCATTGCTAGACTTATACAGAAAAATTTCCCTAGTTGCTTTGTGAATTGGGTCAAAGCATGCATTTGTGATGTCAACTTCTCCATTCTTATCTCTGGAGCTATTGAAGGTTACTTTTCTACTGCCTCTGGTCTTAGGCAAGGGTGCCCTATCAGCCCCTACCTTTTTTGCTTGGCTATGGATGCTTTCTCTAATCTCCTAGAGGTTAGAGGTTTCAAGGGTATTATCTCTAATGAATTTTCCATCTCCCATTTGCTCTATGCTGAT